TGAACCCGGACAAGCAAAAAATACTAGGATTAATAGCACCTGGTTTATTTGTTGTAGCAATCCGAAGAAAGGTGATTCCGAAAATTGGGACTCGATCCGCACACCCATTGCCTGATGAGCGATAAAGCGACGATATGGCGATGCTGGCAAAGGTTGGCTCGCCGAGGCAAAGCCCTCGGTCCAGCTAACGTGACGGAGCTGGTCGGCTAGTGACACCGAAGTCTCCAGAGTAGGTTGATGAAGAGATGGCGAAGCCCCCGGTCCAGCCGAGATGTCGAAGCCTCGATGTCAGCCGATGAGTCAAAGTAGGTCGGCGTGATGGACACCAGCTTGAAGAAGCAATAGTGCGGCCCTGCCGATGTAGGTCGTGACGTGGTCGATGCCGGCTTGATGAAGTGACCGTGTGGCGATGCCGGTATGCCCGCTCCGTGTAATCCGTGGGGCGGACATGTTGGTGATGATTTATCCTTCGCGATTCCGAACTCTTGTTCGGCTTGCTGAGATGATGATCCGAAGAAGTTGAGCTCGACTCAACAAAGTGACGACGTGTCTAGCGCAGGTCGACAGCCTTGGAGCAATATTGCCGGACTGGTTTGATACCAGCATGATGATGAAGATGACCTTAGGGGAGGCTTAAAAATTTACGGGCACATGTTTAAAAACAACGCACAATACCCTAGAAGAGAATTCCTCTAAAAAGGTTGTCCAATATCACGTTCATAAAGAAACATGAATTCGGGTCGGATCCGTATTCGCGCAAAAAACGGGTCCGAAAATTGGCCCACTCATCGGAAGGTTCCCGGAGTTTGAACTGTCAGATCGAGCTAAAATTTGGAGGGGTGGTAGATATGGGAATTCTGCAGTAGATGAACGGTTGGATCTTCCAAAGGACCTCCGAGCTGGGCTCTGGAGACCACGCCCTAAACTCATCCAGATTCCTGTCCAGATTTGACAGGGCTCCGGTATATCGTAGATTGTCGGAGATTCCTCCATCGGAACTCGACGAAATTGTGCATGACTGTTGTAGACGTAATTCCACACTATTTGACCGAAGAAATCATCAAACCGACGCTCGAGGAGGTGGTGACGGCGAATACAAGTTCGTTGTCCATAAAAACAGCACGGCCGCCCGAGGGCAATGTTGACGTTGAGCCCTCGAGCTCCATGGCTGACTCCTCTATGATCATGATAGAGACCGGAGTTGATGTTGAAGAAGTCCCGCGTCCGAACATGACAATCGGAGATGGAGCACGGTCCTCGGTCGAGTCAAGGTGACCAGTCGAGCCGGTGACGAAAATGTCGGCGTCGTAGTTGACCTGCGGGCGAGCCATTGATCCTTTTGCCGATCACACAACGGAACTCTCAATGAAAGCACAAATGTCGGTGTCAAAACCGGCGAATCTCAGGTAGGGGGTCCCGGACTGTGCGTCTAGGATCAATGGTAACAGGAGACAGGGGACACGATATTTACCCAGGTTCGGGCCCTCTTGATGGAGGTAATACCCTACGTCCTACTTGATTGATATTGATGATATGAGTATTACAAGAGTTGATCTACCACAAGATCGTAGAGACTAAACCCTAGAAGCTAGCCTATGGTATGATTGTTGTATATGATCTATCGACTAGCCTGGCCTCGGTTTATATAATGCACCAGAGGCCTAGGATAACAAGAGTCCTAGCCGAATACGCCGGTGGGGAGGAGTCTTTGTCTTGATCACCAAGTCTTGTGGAATCTTCCATGTATGCGACATCTGTTCGAACTGGCCCATGAGTATATGGCCATGAGGGTCCTCGGCCCAATCTAACAGATCGGGAGACGACGTGGTGAGTACCCCTAGTCCAGGACACCGTCACAGGGGTTGCGGAAGGAGCAAGCGCAAGGAAAGAAAACGAGACTGGGTCTCTATATAAAGGCCCCGAATATTGTGCGTCTCCCCCAGGGTCTCTAAACTTACCTATCACCAAGGAGTTGTACCCAGGGGACGGTTAGGTTACCCACGCCTGCATTAATGAAAATCCCGTAAATAAAGGGACACGATCTCTGCCCTGGCAAGACGTGCCAGTAAAACCGCACCCCGAGACGTGGGGCGGCTCACCAGCTGACGGTTGGAAATAGCAACCGAGCAGACATGATACGATGTCATGAACAGTTATCAACAAGTTGGGCTCGTGGAGTGTTATATTTTCTGCCATTATATACACAGGTCCGGATATACTTACTTCGTCCGAAGACTATGCTGGAGGTCGGAAGGATGAAACCCGTCTTGCAATGCCGAAGACAAATCTGCGCGCCGGACTTCTCATCATTGAAGCCAGGTTTAGGGGCTACTGAGGGAGTCCTAGACTAAGGGGTCCTCGTGCGTCCGACCTGTTATCCGTGGGCCGGACTAATGGGCTGTGAAGATCAAAGATCATACTCATGTCCGGATTGGACTCTACTTGACATGGAAGGCAAGCTTGGCGATCGAAGATTCCTTTTTATGTAACCGACTCCATGTAAACCCTAGATCCCCTCGGTGTCTATATAAACCGAAGAGGATAGTCCGGAAAGGACACCACATGTACTCATTACCATACCCATATAGGCTAGACTTCTAGGGTTTAGCCATTACGATCTCGTGGTAGATCGACTCCCGTAATATTCACATTCATCAATATCAATCAAGCAGGACGTAGGGTTTTACCTCCATAGAGAGGGCCCGAATTTGGGTAAACATCGTGTCTCCCATCTCCTGTTACCATCGATCCTAGACGCACAGTTTGGACCCCCTACCCGAGATCCGCCGGTTTTGACATCGACACCTGCCTCCCTCTTTGCCAAGTTGTACGACGGGTCAAGTAACAAACTAACTATGGACTTGCTCTAATCTTCATGTTGAAAACTAATACGCCTAACAGTATGGGAAGGAGGGAGTAGTAAAAAAGATGAAGATACATAAATGAGTCATATGAGTGCGTTATGTGTGTTAACACATGTCTTATAACAGGTGTGCGGTCGTTTCTCTCAGCAGGAGAGAAAAGTAGTTACACTTAGCCTTTGCCTAGATAAAAAGCGGAGAAAGAGTTCTCACATCAACCGCCAAAACCCTGAATTGCTATAGCTAAAAAGCGAGTTGCCACATTCTAATGGGCTCTTTGATTCTGAAGATGGTGTCATCATTTTTGTCCTTCCAAATCTATCATGTGTAGTAAAAAACAATCTTGTCGGATTCCAGTCTTCAAAGTTTTGAAATTTATGATCTAGTACGCCTTCACCATCCAGTGACCTTGGTTATTTGAATCTCCGTTGCCGGAACCAAGCCATGGCAACCAACCATGAGGCCATGCCATGCCATACCTAACGAGGAAAGCTGCAAGAAAGTAGAAGGTGAATCTCCGTCTCGGCGTAAACACCACACATGGAGCAGATTCCGCTCCCTCCCAAACAAAGGAGATTGTCCGAAGTGAGCAGTCGACATGCATCGCTAACTAGCCATCTAATCTGACCTTGTTCTTTGACTGAGCCTTCCAAATCAACTAGAAATTATTTTTTTATAAAAACCAGAACATATCGCCTTTTTTGCCGACCTTTGTCATGTAGATTTCGCTTCCTGTCCAATGCCATTGAACTTGGTCTTTATCATAGGATTGAGACCCCCCTCTCCAATCATCAACCAAAGCTTGATGAACTCCTCTACTTGTAGTGGCGGTGCCACTGTAGGGGCTGGTATGGTCGGCCGCCCTGGGTAAGCCGTGATGTGCGCCATAAATACTAGTACTACTTATCTATTTGTCCATCTCAATTTTTTCTGAAGGCACGTCTCACTAATCGACTTGTTTTGGACGAGAGACACAAAACGTTTTTAGTCGGTCTATTTGAACAGAAAAACGATTTGGTTTTATACGTGCGCTAACAGAACACGGCCTGGGAGTCCATGTTAGTGGTTCTCTGTGACGTTTATGTTTTTTTCCTGATATTTTATGCTTAGATCAGCTAGTTGTCAAGAACCTTGAATTATTCTGCACCATTAGTTATGTTCTTTGGCTTCATATTTCAATCCTATGAGTTTCTGTTGAGCAGACTTGCATCTGTATGCTACAAAAATTATAGACCTTAAATGTTTCGTCCCGGGTAAGTTCAATTCCTGGATCCGACATAAAGACAACCATCGACCGAATCCCACAAGGTCCATCGAAGACACACCTTCGCACACCCTCTCACAATGATAGACACACTATCGAGACACAGACAAGGTGAGACAACGTTATTCTATCTTCAGCAAGCCGTCGCCTTCTCATCGTCATGAACACGACACAAATCCTAGCAAATCTCAAAAAAAATATAAAAACGGAGTCCTCTAGTGGATAAGGGCCGAAACTCACCACATCTCACAGCCCTAAGGCCGCAGAAGACGAGACAGGTCGGTGGCATGGAGGCAGGAACCTAATCGTGTGTTCACTTGGGGAGGAGAGACGAAGGGGTAAGTCGTTTTTTCCCCTGCGTCACGTCTATACAGCTGTGAACAGTTTGTTTATGGAGTAGCTCCAGCAAAAACACAAACTGTCATCCTGGCGCCCGTCATGCTTCACGACCAACCAAAGTACCCAACGTGCTGAAGCCGATGATGCAAAACCAAATGATCATCTACCGACCGCCTCGTGCACACGGACCAGTAGCGTGCAATGTTGCCGGCTTCCAGAAGGGAGCCTCCACGTAAGTTCCCGGCACACGAACTTACGGCAACGTTTGACCACGGTAGCCGCTACGTGCTCGCAGTGAAATCACTTCCCATCAAAACGTGGCGCGCGCCCCATGCATGTTCGCCACGCCGGCCCGCGGTGAAAGGCCGAGGTAACAGCGCACCACGGCCGGCAGCATGCACCGTCCACGTATACACGGACCGCACCGCCGTGCACCACCTATATAAGCGGCCTCCGCTCAGTGGTGAAGCAGAGCATACCAGCAGGCTAGCGGAGACAGACTTCAAAGACTTGTTACCGAGCAGAGACCGCGAGCAATGGCACAGCAGGAGAAGAAGGCGCCGGAGCTGCAGCAGGACCCGGAGATCCAGGACTCGGAGAACCGGACACAGCAGGTGAAGAAGGCGCCGGAGCTGCAGGACCCGGAGATCCGGGCAGAGCTGGACCGCCGCGCCCGCGAGGAGGGCGAGACCGTCATCAAGAGCGGCGCCGGCGGCAAGACCCTCGAGGCGCAGGAGCGCCTGGCGGAAGGTACGTGCGTGCGTTCATGCGTTGGCGTATGTGGTGTTGCTCTAACTTTGTGTTGATCTGCTTGTGCTGCTGTGCATGCGTGCTGCAGGGCGTAAGAAGGGCGGGCTGAGCCGTGCGACCGGCTCCGGCAACGAGCGCGCAGAGGGCGAGGGCGGGGTGGTGATCGAGCCGGACGAGAAGAAGCTCAAGGAGGTCAAGAAGGATCTCGGGCGCGAATGATCGAGCGAGGTAGACGATGTACGGCCTCACAGGCCGGCCCTCCTATATATATATATATATCGTACGTGTGGATGTACTGTAAGTTAGTACGTAGTGCTATGGGTGTACGTGGTAGTAGGCTAGGTTGAAGGATGCAGCTTACGTAGTAGCGTTGATGCATGCATGTCTTCGTGCTCGCACGGACATGGCGTACGTACGGCTGGCTACAAAATTTTGGTCCCTGGATTGTAGCCGCCGTAGCCCCTCTATATATGTAGCTCGATCGTAATCCATGTACCCTGGCTGCAAAATTTTGGCATGTATGTACGTTCTGTAGCCAATGATCCCCGGATATATGAGTTGATAAATAAATAGTGGCCGTGTCTGCGAAAACTCCACACTAACTTCTATTCAATAAACGATGTATAGTAGTATTTTTTTAATCACAGATTCATTCCTATGTACGCACGCTCATTCCTATGTACTCGTTATGTAGTCGAGAGAGTACCAATTACTTACAATTGTTCATGAAATTACTTTACTACCGTTCCAAGTACAATATGGCCAGTCTAAAGAAGACACATTCAAAGAAAAAGAATTAACACACTACAACACGTCCTTGAAAGCGTTACCAAAGCCCAAGAATGGCCCACCCCGTCGAGAAAGCGCTGCCTAAGATGAAGCCGGCCATGAAGGGAGTATATTATGAAGGCACTTCTCGATGATGAAACTCAACGAAGATGAAATAATCCGTCACGTTTCTAAACAAGGTTTTGCAGCTTGCTGACCAGAAATGAACTTATGCTACGAGCCTTAGGTTCAGATTGGCGTCGGCGGTTTGGTGGGAAGTTTCAGATTTTTTTAGGGTACCTTCCATTTTAAGATCGTGTTTGTGGGCGATTTGTTCTATACCAGGCTCATTTAGATGGGCTTCAGGCCAGCGATGGCATCTTCATTCACAGTCCAATCCACGTAGTACTAGTTCATTAGTGGGCTAGGTGACAGCCGAGGACGATCTGGTCCGGGCGTCAGCTATTTCCTTCCCGCCCAGTTAACTGAACAATTTCTTGGGTTTCTCAAAAAAAAAAAGTTAACTGAACAATTACCAAAAAAGGTTAACGAGGGAAAAAAACTAATCGCGGTCGCCGCTCCTTCCCTCGCCCCCATCGCCGGAGGGCGTAGGCTGGTGCATCCGTCGAGATGCATGGCAAGCCTCTCCGCCGCATCGGCGAAGGCTGTCCTTAGGTGGCGGAGGCTGTCCTTAGGCCAACTCCAGCACGTGACCCCAATTTGTTTGGAGGCGTCCGTTTAAGGTAAAATGACATACCAGACTATCCAACGCAGGAATGTGCATTTTTGTTCACTTTTGACTCATTTTCGACTCAAACTTGGGTCGTGACTATCCAACGCAGGGATGTGCATTTTTGTCCACTTTTGACTCACTCCCGACTCAAACTTGGGTCGTTTTTGCAGCGTAATGGACAGCGCACGAAAGGGCGGGCCGTGTGTGTTTGTCTTTCCTTTGCCTTTGCTCGCCCTGTAACGCCTCGGACATATCTGTCGGTAGTCGTTACTTCTAGCGGGATCTAGACTGGTTCACAAATCAATATTAGTATTTTCTGTGTACTTTGTCCTCACTCGTGCGCACCTAAGAGTAACTTCCCGGTCGATCGCTCATCTCGAAACTACTCCAAACTGAACACGCTTAACTTTAAAGTTATGTCCAAATGAACTCTCAGAAAAGAAAGAATTCATTATTGATATGAGTAGTCTATCATCCCTAATAAGTCATGCTATCACATACACCCCCACTCAGAGAAACCGGCGTCCTCGTCGGGCCACATAAACGTTCTCTCTTGACATAAACGTATACACCCCCACTCAAAAAAAAAACCGACGTCCTCGTCAGGCCACATAAACGTTCTCTCTTGACACAAATGTTTGTGCTTCCTGTCCGGCACATGTGCCATGCCATGTGCTCCGATGGGTCACAAGCGTCATGCATAACATGACCGCGCATCTGTCTGTAAACATCCGTGTAACCGCGAGGATCGGCTCTGATATCAATTTGTAATGCCCTGAACACACTCGTCGGTGGTCGTTACTCCTAGCGGGATCTAGACAGGCCCTACAGATCAATACTAGTCTATTCTGTGCACTTTGTCCTCATTCGTGCGCACCCGAAAGTAACTTCCCGGTCGGTCATCCATCCTGAAACTACTTCAAGCTGAGCACGCTTAACTTTGAAGTTCTGTTCGAATGGGCTCCCGAAAATATGAGTAGTCTATCATCCCTAATAAGCCAGGCTATCACACGACCGTCGGTGGTACAGGGGTTCCTTTTTCTATCCGCCCCCTCCCCCCTCCAGCCGCACCCTAATAACCCACAAGTATAGGGGATCAATTGTAGCCTTTTTCGATAAGTAAGAGTGTCGAACCCAATGAGGAGCTAGAGGTAGAATAAATATTCCCTCAAGTTCTATCGACCATCGATACAACTCTACGCACGCTTGACGTTCGCTTTACCTAGAACAAGTATGAAACTCGAAGTACTTTGTAGGTGTTGTTGGATAGTTTTGAAAGATACTAAAGAGCGCGTAAATAAAAAGTAGGGGTTGTTTAGATAAAGACACAACTAAGTTAGGTTTATTAAAGAGCTTGTTGTCATATAAAAAAGTTATTTGTCCCTAGGCAATCGATAACTAAACCGGTAATCATTATTACAATTTTATTTGAGGGAGAAGCATAAGTTAACATACTTTCTCTTCTTGGATCATATGCACTTATGATTGGAACTCTAGCAAGCATCTGCAACTACTAAAGATCATTAAGGTAAAACCCAACCATAGCATTATAAGGCATCAAGTCCTCTTTACTCCCATACACAAACAACCTACTTACTCAGGTCTGTGCTTCTATCACTCACGCCACCCATCATAAGCAAATCATGAACATATTGCAAACGCTACAGCGGGGATCCCTCATGCTTGTGCGACACGGAGAGCACCATAGGACATCACTAATAATGAAACATGCAAGTCAAACCAATCACGATCATCAATTAACCCATAGGACAATCTACTCAAACATCATAGGATAGCCATACATCATTGGGAAATAATATATAGCGTTGAGCACCATGTTTAAGTAAAGATTACAATGAGTAAAAGAGGGATTACACCGATGCATAGAGGGGGGAAGAGTTGGTGATGATGACGGTGAAGTTATTGGTGTAGATTGCGGTAATGATGATGGCCCCGGCGGCGTTCCAGCGCCATCGGGAGGGAGGGGGAGAGAGCCCCCCTTATTCTTTTTCTTCCTTGACCTCCCCCTAGATGGAAGAAGGGTTTCCCTCTGGTCCATGGCCTCCATGGCGGCGGAGGGGCGAGAGCCCCTCCGAGATTGGATCTGTCTCTCTGTCTCTCTGTTTCTGTGTTTCAGATTCTGCCCTTTCACCGTTTCTTAAATTCCCAGAGATCCGTAACTCCGATTGGGCTGAATTTTGGACACGATTTTATCCGGATATTAGCTTTCTTGAGGCGAAAGAAGGGCACCAAGCGCCTTACGGGGTGGCCACAAGGGCCCAGGGCGTGCCCCCTGCCTCGTGCCCCCCTCGGTCATTGTCTCGCGTTGATTCTTCTTCCCAAAAATCGCATATATTTCAAAAAAAATCTCCGTCAGTTTTTATCCCGTTTGGACTCCGTTTGATATGGATTTTCTACGAAACAGAAAACATGCAACAAACAGAAATTGTCACTGGGCACTAGATCAATATGTTAGTCCCAAAAATAATATAAAAAGTTGCCAAAAGTATATGAAAGTTGTATAATATTGGCATAGAACAATCAAAAATTATAGATACAACGGAGATGTAACAACATCCCCAAGCTTAATTCCTACTCGTCCTCGAGTAGGTAAATGATAAAAAAGATAATTTTTGATGTGAAATGTTACCTAGCATAATCTTGATCATGTAATTTAATCATGGCATGAATATTAAGACATGAGTGATTCAAAGCAATAGTCTATCATTTGACATTAAGACAATTATACTTCAAGCATACTAATAAAGCAATCATGTCTTTTCAAAATAACATGGCCAAAGAAAGTTATCCCTATACAATCATATAGTCTGGCTATGCTCCATCTTCATCACACAAAATATTCAAATCAGGCACAACCCCGATGACAAGCCAAGCAATTGTTTCATATTTTTGATGTTCTCAAATATTTTCAACTTTCACGCAATACATAAGCGTGAGCCATGGACATAGCACTATAGGTGGAATAGAATGTGATGATGGAGGTTGTGTGGAGAAGACAAAAAAGGAGAAAGTCTCACATCGACGCGGCTAATCAACGGGCTATGGAGATGCCCATCAATTGATGCCAATGCGAGGAGTAGGGATTGCCATGCAACGGATGCACTAAGAGCTATAAGTGTATGAAAGCTCAAACTGAAACTAAGTGGGTGTGCATCCAACTTGCTTGCTCATGAAGACCTCGGGCATTTGAGGAAGCCCATCATCGGAATATACAAGCCAAGTTCTACAATGAAAATTCCCACTGGTATATGAAAGTGATAACTCAAGAGACTCTCTATATGAAGAACATGGTACTACTTTGAAGCACAAGTGTGGTAAAAGGATAGTTACATTGTCCCTTCTCTTTTTTCATTTCTTTTTCTTTTTTAGGCTTCTTGGCCTCTATCTTTTGTGGGGGGGCTTTTTCGGCCACTTTTATTTTGATCATGGGGCAATGTTCTAATAATGATGATCATCACACTTTTATTTACATACAACTCAATATTACAACTCGATACTAGAACAAAGATATGACTCTATATGAATGTCTCCGGCGGTGTACCGGGATGTGCAATGATCTAGCATAGCAATGACATGAAAAAACGGACAAGCCATGAAAACATCATGCTAGCTATCTTACGATCATGCAAAGAAATATGACAATAAATGCTCAAGTCATGTATATGATGATGATGGAAGTTGCATGGCAATATATCTC